TGTTGAACTTCAAATCGCCGACCTTCTTCACTAAATTTAATATGCTTGGAACCATTTCTATCATGTATTTACTAATCTTCAACGGCGTGCGTCTTGTAAAATGTGGAATCAATATGAATTTTTCTGTGTGTTTTCGGCTTCGAAGTCGGCGTGGTTGCTCAATCGGTTGCAATCCCCTCGGCAAACTTCAACCACGCCCACTTCAAAGTGTTCAGCTCCCTTTCCAGCGGCTTTCCAAGGTGAATTTTTAATCAGTCACACTTTTTATGCTCCTGGCTAGGGTCAGCGCATCGTTCCGCGCCATTTGTGTTCAAGGTAAAAGTCTGAACTGTCGTTTTAATTTCTGATGTACGCGAAAATCAAAAAATGTTATGTCATAGATTGCCTTCGATCGCACTGGCTATGGAATATTTGTGAAGTGTGTTTCTGCCCTTTCTACTTTTATCATCAATTCAACTATGAAAAAGGAGCCCGTTAGCGCTTTCCATAGATGTCTCACTGCTCACATTATTCTCTGGATTCCTTTGATTGCGAAGCATAGTGATGATAGCGTTGTGAATGAAATAAGACATGGTAAGCATTCCAGTTAAAGCAGGAAAATTCCGATTGAAATCTGAAAAACTTCATGAAAGCGCATGAAATCATCGATCAATTATTGTCGATTGGAAAAAGGCATACTGTTGACATAGTTGGGCGATGTTACATCAGAAAAATTCATATTGATTCCACATTTTACAAGACGCACGCCGTTGAAGATTAGTAAATACATGATAGAAATGGTTCCAAGCATATTAAATTTAGTGAAGAAGGTCGGCGATTTGAAGTTCAACAATGGAAATACTAATACGGCCACATAGATCGGCACTGTTAGCTGAAATAAGAAAGACGGAGTGAGCCATATGAGCTGATAAACCCTGCGCTGTGTTCCACTTCCATTAACAATTAGTGGCGCATGGATGCGATGCGCCCTCTACAGTGATGCATGACTCGAACTGTTATGCCCTCAGTCATTTTCTCCGACGACTTATTGTGTTTATTGGGTTGTCCCATAATTCCTGTCCGAATTTCGACACTTTCTTCTCATCGAGTTTTATCTTCCTCTAAAACCAATTGATCAAAAATATAACCATTATCATAATCACCGATATGCATCCATTCGCCAGGGAACCTTTGGATGCTTTCCTCCTAGAATGGGTGAAGCTATGAGCTGAAGAATTCAGCAAGGTCGTTTGGAGTGGTTGTATTTAGTGACTTTTTTCTCTCGCCGCTGCTGCCTCAAGGCACTGTGAAGGGGTAGCCCGATGGAGTGATGCCAGGGCTATACGATGGACATGGTATCGTGGTCCAGCCAGTTTCCCTCAGAACGTAGCGAGTTATCTTTGCAATGTGAGGTCGGCGTCTATTCGGAGAAAGGGGATTTTGGGACGTTTAGGACGGTTTCTCCCACTACTGCGGCCAACCCGGGAGCTGTTCCACGATGGCATTCGCAATACTTGTCCGCATATAGCAAAACAACTGTGAAAGTGGAAGACCCACTCAATCTAGAGCTGGTAGGCCTTGGCTGGCCATAAGGTGTGCTGCGTGTTGTTGTCGCAGTGAACTCATGACTCATCCCCACTAGTGATCAACTAGGGAACGCTCTGCTAATGAGGTCACAGAATGAAATTCCCCCAGAGGGTCAGACCTGCTTCTCGGTCATGGCTGGTCGGTGCATATGGTTTCATCAAGTCTTCATTCTGCTGCCGCCCACTTCATCCTGATGGCGTGTGCTGGTGCATCGGCTGCGCCCAGGTGTCTGCTACAATACCCTCCCTGGTAGTAGCGTCCGTGTGCACTTCCAAGCCGTGGCGCAAGGGGTCCTCATCGAAAGTGAGTGGAGGCCCAGGATGAGGCTGATTTCACAGCTCGTATTGTCTTTGCCATTGCGACCGAACCTCCAGCTCAGTGACCGATCAGTAGCAGAGACTGAGCCAAACACAGCGCTGATCTTCTCTAGTGTCCTTCCTTGCAACAGCGTCTATTTGAGGATCATAAAGCATAATCGTTCGTTATTGTCACTGATCTATTTCGACTTCTACTCAGTTATTCCGATGCGGGTTTGACCTTCCAAAATGTCCTGGCTAACGGTCTAGATGCACTCTTTGACATACCAACATATTTCGCAATGACACTAATTTGACTTGAAGAAATTTGAATTTGATCAAAAATCGGACAGGAATTATGGGACAACCCAATAGATAGATGGAAGGCCTAGTTTTGAGGAATTTCACCGTGCTGTAATCGCTAAGGACGTACACGAGCGCCGTGCACTGGACCTAGATCCAGAATTGTAACGGTTCCTGAACAGGTACAATCATAGAAGGAACAAAAGATGTACCGCATTACGAATCAGTGTTTTTATCTTACTGGCATCTTCTACCTACTAGCTGATCTGGTAAGTATGCATCATTTGAATTGCGTGAAGGAAAGCGATTCTAGTGGCGTGCGAATTGTAAGCGCGTCTTTTGGCACTGCACTAACCCAGCTCAAAATGTGCTAATCTCGTGAACAATCTTCTCGTCTCGCTAGAGCTTCCGAGAAAATTTCGAATTGTATACGAGGTGAAAATGTAACAAACAACTTCGGCGGATACAAACCTGTAGTTGCCATATGTCATCAAATTTGAGACCGAAAATAAGCGGCGGATCGTTGATTTTCGGAGTGTGAGATCCAACGGTGTTATTTACATGGCAATAAACTGGAACGCCCAAATAACGACGTCTTCCTTTCCAATAAGAGTTCCAAAAAGGGCAGGAATTTTACCGAATACAGACACTACTTGAAACTTACCATTACATTTGCCCTCGCTTTGAGCTGTTGTATGATTGGCGGGATGTACAATCTCTAAAAATGCCAAAATAAGAGGAGACATTCAAATGAGAGAAAGTTTGTTTGAACCTAATTAGAATCCAAATTTAACACAAAATTTCATGTAAAATTGCCTAGTAAAATTGGCCATGTTGCCGATGGAAGAGAATCAAAAAGACCAATTTGCCACATGATTCGTATCGGAAAATGACCATAGAGAGAATTTCATGTCCCCATGGCTATTCGAGAAGAAATGTACACCGCTGGATGTGCCTTTTAACGCTGATCTCAAATCTATCCTCCAAACCTGCTAAGCGATTTCTTAAACCGAGTTGTGAAGCAGAATAGCCTAGCAGTGGTCGCGGCCCACAGGCGAGACGTCGCCGGATCTATTT